AAAGAAGCCGAAAGTCGGTAATGAGCTTAGCCTCATATCGAGAACACAAAGGCGAAAGAACGATTAGACAAACCGGTGACTTTAATCGCCCTGCTTCTCAGCTAATGCAAACCGGAAATTGCCGTGACATAAATTCTCGCTCGTGTTGTGTCCCTTGGGATGGCAGAAATCCTGAAACTTATACAAAACGCGATGTTTGTCATGAATATGGTTAACTTAGCAAAATAAAACGCGAGCTAATTCCTTGAAAGTGGAGCATAATAATATTAATCTTGAGATGGAAGTGGAGTAAGAACTAAAACGAACGGCGGTGTACGCAAAGGACATCCTAAATTGGAGAGCTTCCAATTTTGTCCACTTCATACGTCAAAAACGGCAGCGCAGTTTCGTGGTTCCGTGCATCAAAAAATTAAAAAAAATATTATGTTTTTGTTGGTTCATTTTATGTTATTTTATTCCTTTTTATTGATTCGTCCTGAGATCAGTTTAGTGAACCAACGTGTTCGTTTCCTCGGGATATCATCACCAGCTTCACGTTCTTTCGTGAGTAATTAACAAAAGGGTCCAATGCAAGTACAAGCCTCTGGACTGAACGCCACCGAAGAAAATTTGGTTTGTGCTTTCCCGAACGTATATTAATATCTTAGAGGGGTGGCATGCTTGGTAAATATAAGTGCTCACGGTATAACATACGCACGTGATAGGACACATATCAAAACACATTACAGCCACAACTGCATACATCCATTTGGTTTGCAGCGTCCCCGGATAGCGCAGCCAAAAGGTTCCTTTGAAACGAAGGAGCAACAAGAGCTTTCGTTCGACACAAGCAACCCATCTAGGTTAATCGAGGTGCTATCAAGGAGTATATGAGACATGTTCAAAAGAATCCAGGATGTCACGTGCTTCATTCGTCTCTTCAATCTGTGTTCCCACCCCTAGCCGCGCGCGAGAGTCAAATTTCCGATTTACACGAGGACCGTAGGTAACAATTCACTCATTATGTGTGTCGAGTATGTTGGTGCTTTCGTTACAAAGCTATAAATATAGAATACCAAATATGTTTGTTAAAGACCCATTCGTGCTCCGTAATTCTAATTAGTAAAATTAATCGTAGAAACGTGCAGCGAGTGCGTTAAATCATTGAAAGTGTTCAAGCTCACTATATTATAAACATAATCGTTTCAAGTATCGTTATGAAGCCGCACTTTATGCGGCAGCAGTATCGAGGTCATTAATAAAAGCGAGTGATTTGATACGAGCGTTTGTAAGAGGATTGTAAGTAATTGTTTAATGAATGCGCGTCAAAGCAAAGTTGGCGTTTGGGCGTCTTTGGTTTTCTCGCCGACTGTGCCGCGCAATGCATATTTAGAAAACAACCGCATAAACAGTAAACGTGGCTGGCATGGTGTATTATTTCTCGTAAGAAGCCTACAATTTGGAGAACGGCTAAAAGAGCTTCGAGCAACATATAAGCGGTTGCTCGCTATAGTGACAAGGCAGGGTCAAATAGATTGTAGAATGTATATTTATTTTTAAAGTCTGAGAGAGATAGAGGTTTTACTAGTGCAGAAAATCAGTGCAAAACAAAATATATTCAGTACAGATGTGAGTACCGTGAAGTAAGTTTACCATATTGTTCGCCAGTAAACAGGGCCCCGCGATTTTATAAACGAGTCTGAATGAATCTTTCGAAAACTGCCTTTTGAGCATTTCAGCCCGAATTCCATCCATGCCGCTTTCTTGGGAAGTTGTTATCTAATTTCCAAGGCATAGTGATTTCCCGCTATAAAAGGGAAGTTATGAATACGTTCCTCCTACAAAGAGGGTAAGAACATCATAATAAACACATTAAAGTTTTTTTTTTTTTTTTTTTTTTTCAGAGGTTGATATATTGTATTTTTTTGTTTAACTTAATATCCCAGGATATAAAGGTACATACGTATATATCTCTCCATATCCGGAGATATCTCCCATGTTAAACAGACTATAAACTGTTTAACATAGGAGGAAAAGGTATTGTACGAATCGGGTCACATTTCCATGCTCTGTCGCTACTGACGCTGCCTCTTGTTGTGACGGGCCTGGTGCGAACAAGTCTCTCAATGCCGGCGTCGGGTTATTTTCCGCGCAGTTGTCCGCACGCTGTCACTAGGCAAACAGGTCCCCCGCGTAGACCTGGTTATATGTACGCCATCAGCGGAGCGCAGAAAACCTTTATATATACCCGAGCGACCGAGGTTCCGTAGAGCTCCATACAAGTGCGTTTGAGTTAGGCTCTATAGTGTGTGTGTGCGTGTGTGTGTCTCAACAGCCTTCTCTCCACTTCCCAACCCTGCCAGTCTGTCTGCCTTTCCGTTCAGGCATGCTCCTATTGTGAGATGACGAAACGTGGAAAGCCGCCAATCGGCAGCAACAAAGAACGTACAGCGACTCGGTGAAGCACGTCAGGCTTTCCGTGTTTTCTATAATCCGGGTCTATCCATTATGAATACACGGACCTCGGTGACACTGACAATATGGGGTCTGCAAGAATGGACGATGTTAGTGAGGGCGGTTCGTCCATCTCAAAGGAGCGACATTGTTGGAACTTGGCAGGAAGAAATAGACTAAAATATGTCACACGTATTATATCTTGACCGGATATACACAATTCATTTGTTGGTGATTTGATATCTACATTAAATTATGAGTAAACTGTAATTATCATTTGTTGCATATGAAAGTAGCCTTAGCGAAGCTGCTTTCAAATAGTATTTTCAAGACCAAAAAAATAAAAAAAAATCTATAATGACCTGTTTCACATGGCGGCAATTTGGACGTCTTTTATTGACCTTTCAAAAACGTAAATGAGCCACGAAAGACAGGCAGTAAAAATGTAATATCTGTGAGCAAAAAACAAACAATAACTCATTCTGCAGATCGTCTACTGCTGAACTTAGCAAGCTCATTTCACTTTGATTCCAAGAACGACGAGTTTCTTGGGAGCAATTTTAACTCGTTATTTGTCAAGTCGTCGTTTGCAGTTCTTCAGTGACTTTTTTTTTACTTAGGATTGATTAGCTAACAAGTCAATATAGTAAAACTAACAACTAATCCTGCACTTGTAATATATATCTATCTATATATATATATATATATATATATATATATATAGATTAGAAGTGCAGGATTAGTTGTTAGTTTTACTATATTGACTTTTTTATATTGACTTTTTTTTTCTCTTTTTAACTATGCATATTTGAAAACACGATCGACTGGATGGACGGAACATTTAACTATTTATTCAGCGGATTACACTTTGACACCCAAGTGGATTACTCATGTCCCATCTAGACTTCAAAGATGATCACGTTTAAAATTTCTCTCGTGAGATCTGCAGTTTTTATTTTCCGTTAAACCTTAAGCTGAGACTAGAATCTCCGCCTTCAGAGCGAGCTTTGTGCCCTTGCTAAGCCAAAGGGGAACTCGGAGGTACGCACAACCAAAGCATTGCGGAAGCCTGCCAGCTCGCGCTGAAGGCGGAGCCTTCTAGTCCCAGCTTAAGGGTGAACGGAGTATAGATAAGGTTGCTGATTATTTTAACGGCCAATGATACAATAAAAAAAAAAAGCCAGAAAAAAAGAAAGGGGCCTTTCCGAAGGATCAATTCTTAGTTTCCGAACAACTATAAGACTTATGAAAGATAGTAATTCCAATTGCTTCGTGCCAGTGTCCCATTGGCATTACTTAAATTGTCGAACGATGAGATTCGGCGAAGAATCGAACCGCGGAAAAGAATAAGAAATCGAAGCTTCTTTGAGGAACTGCCCATGCTTCCTAGAAGTGAAGGTCGAACTTCCCCGTACGTGAAGACTGAAACAATGAAGAAATGATGGTTTTCGGCCCACGATTGGATAAACGCTGTCCAATAAATAATTGGGGTTGTGTGGATATTTATACAGCGTGTAGTTGGTCAGCCATTTCAAAGTTGCGACAAGTCACTCGCTGTAGATGAGCAATTTAGCCAGTGCAGTACAACCGCTAGCCTGGGGTCTTTAACGTGCACAACGCAGTAGTGATACACGACTGCACGCCGGTACGTTGCTCATCCAGACCGAAACGGGCAGGGGTGGGGTTTGAACCCAGGATCCGTGGGTTCTGCAGCGCAAGGTTTCGCTCCACGTGCTCCGAGCTGGTGTGCGCTGCTCCACTCAGCCACCGATCCCCCCACCGATGTCCAATGCTAAATGCTTCCTTTTGCATCACCGCTTGCGTGATCAGAAAACGGTCGCGTTCGAACGAGCGATCACCGTCGGCATGAGTCATCGCAAGGGACGCATCGGTGCGAGGGAAACGACGCAACTGACGTAACGCATGGCAGGCGATGCACGGCGAGTCGCACGATCTAAAATAGAAGACTGAACCAGGCGGCAAGCGCACACGCGCTATCTCTATGTATATCTCGTCGAAATGTCGAGTTTCGTTTTTTCACCTCACAGAAGTCACAGCGCGTCAAAATCTCGAGCACCGAGATAACGCGGAGAAAACACACAAACGTGAATTATCTGGGAAGGAATGCGAGACCACAAATCGAGTCTTCACTGATGTGGGAAAAACAACTACACACAGCATTCAAAACCAACTCCGCGTCTTCAATATTTCTTTATCTATTGAAATACGTAAAAGTCCTTTGAGAAGGCCATTATACAAGGTGGGCTGTTCCTTTCTAGGACAATGGTTCAGGTTAATATCTCTGGATGTTTGTTCGCTTGTTTATGTTATTATTTGGTTCAACTATGAAACGGGGGGTCACGGGTCACAACTATCATAAAGCTTTGAGGTGAGCCGTCGTTACTGGTGCAAGTCGTCGCCTATGTGACATCATTGGTCTTCTGCCAAGTAACCTGACGCGCTAGGTACCTTGATGAGGACGACTGCATGTCAAACGCATATGCAAGAGTTTTGGCACAGAAACATTGTCTGAGGAGAGAAATAGATGGAGGTATTAAGCAGCTCACCGATTTCACGTCGAATCCTGGAGAGATATGCCTCTGTTTGTCGGTGCTGACGCTTGTGAAGTCCGAGAAGGTACGAATCCAAAATCCCGTGCGGCGTCGGTAGCAGACGACGCAACGCTCGCTGGTCGTAGCGAACGATCCACGAGTGGTAGCAGACGACACGAAGTACTCCTGTTTCGTGAATACGCTTGGCTCTCGGCGCCGCGAGAACTCCTCCTTCACCGCCGAATCTTACCCTCCGTACCAGCCGAGGTCGATGTGTTGCCGGAGGCACGGGTACTTCACAGCACAACGGACGATCCCCGACGACCGTGGAAAGAATGCACTCGCTACTACAAACACAACGATCACTCCGACGGCAGGCTGTGGGAATCCGGGACGACGCCGCCGCAGGTGCTTAGCGTAGGCAAAGCGCAGACGCCTTCCGGCTGTAAGCCGAAGCGGCCCAAGCGTGCTTTGGCGGGTTCGCGACTCGCGACGCCGAGCAGAAGCAGAGCCACCCGAAGCGCCCCTCTCACACAGCGTTGCCAGCGTTGCAACTTCCCAGCCTTCGACCACTTCGGCTCCCTTGGAGGGAGAAAAGAAGAGGAGGGAGATTACGAGCACGGCGCTTCCTGGTCGTCACATCCGGTACGTCAGTTCCTCTCCGTCATATCCGGTTTGTGACGTCACGTTTGTTTTTCTCTTTTCGCAGCATACGACGCCAGGTTTTCCGTCGAGCGCGCGCGTTTCATACTGGTTTCGGAGAGTCGCTCCAAATACCAGAAGGTTCTTGCTGTGAGGCATAAATTTAAATTCCAGTTTCCATCCTTTCATCCTTCCCAACATTATCCCTCCGAAGGGATGAAGCATGAAGGGGCTGGGAATATAAGTGAAATCGATTGCGTCTGCAAGCTTCAGCTGCTAAAAAAAAAAGAAAAAAAAAAGCGTGTATGCATATTTTGGTGATACAACAAAACTTCACTCTGAAATTTCACAATAAATCCAGAGTCTCAATGCAGAAGTAGACAAAAACGAGATGTGTTTTGACACCAAATTGGATGAGCAGGAATGAGAAACCGCATGAATGAGGGCAGTTATGTTTATCTTGAACAGCATGCGATGAGCATCACTGAGCAGAAATGAACAGCGGCAGTAAATGACCAAGGAGAAAACATCTTTTCTAGACACCTTCCTTGAGTTTTCTTTTGTCTGATATCTGAAGGGCATGCATGTACAATTCAAAGGAGGGTCGTTGCCCTTATTGATCATGGTTTCTCTCCCTTCAATATGCGTAGCCTAGCAAAGATCATGGCATAGCCAGCATGAGGTAATTGCACAATCTAGGATTCAGAACAGATATGCAGTGCAATTCCCGATCGAACTAAAAAAATATTTTTTTAACCCTAGGTAAAAAAAAAAAAAGAATGCTACCAGTGGGTTTAAAGCTGGGTACAGTAAACACCATGTTAGTTATCAAGCTTATCAGACCTTTGTTTTTTGCGAATGAATTATATCGTCTTTTTAGGGTGAGCACCTTGGTATTGGATAAAGATTTTATGAAACAATTACACATGTGTAATTCTTTCTTACTTTTTGTATTTTGATCGTACACCTTTGTAATTTCGTATCAGATTAATCCGAACTCCTACTCCATATTTCAAAGAAGTTCACTCAATCTGCACTTGGTACAACGTGCCATAATGCAGATCCTGCTGGAAATAAGTTAAAATCTTCATTTCGATACATAAATGAATGGGCATGCATATATTGATAATTTCATAAATTTGAATTACGAAATTTCACCAGAAAGTCGGAGTTCAAATCTAGAAAGTGAGACAAAATTAGATGTATTTTGACGCAAAATTGAATGTGTACGAATGAGAAACCCCGTGGATGAGCAGTTGTTCATCTTGAGCAACACGCAATTAGTTGCAATGAGCAGCACAACACAGTAGCAATAACCCACTAAATATGAAACATCTTTCGAAGATAAGACAAATTCTGTGCTTTTTGCTTGATACCTGAAATGCAGTACGGATATGTGTACAAATCAAAAGAGGGCAACTTCGTTTACTGTTTTAGATTGATCTCCGCGCAGCTTATTCCGAGTGCTGGATATACGTAACCTAACATGCACTATGACATAGCGTTTTCAAATATTTAAGTTTTAGCTTTTAGATTGAAGCGAGGGATTCATTAACCCTGGGTAAAAAAAAATTACACTCCACTAAAAGTGACCTCTTCTACACACACCGTGAGCGCCAAGCTCATTATCAAGTTTTGCCAAACCTGTATGGTTCTACGACGATTTAAATCACATTCCTCGGTTATTTCGTATAAGACTAAACTAGCTGATATCTCGTACACCAAATGTCGAGAAATTCCACCCAATATGCACATTGTTGGTACCAAGTGCCAGGATAGAGATGTTCTTTGAATTCTGAGATTGCTTGAGGTTGTGGTGATGCCCGTTAAAGACGCCATGCTATAGCAATGGTACTGCAATGGCTAAATTTCTCATCAACAGTGAAGTCACCAGACGCCCATTGGGGCTGACTAAATTCCCTGTCTAAATATACACAAAACACAATTATTTTTGGAGTATCTATAAGAATCATTTTTTTATTATTATTTTAAGGGATTCAGCGACTTCTTCCCGTGCAACTGAAAATTAACGATTGCCAAAACAATAATAAAAAGGGAGATGTGCCAGCAACGAAGAGCAACAAAATCTATCTCGTAACCGATGTCTTCTTCCCTTTTTCTTTTTCTTTTTTTTTTTTTTAAGATCCGTGTTAGTATTGTGTTACGATTTATTCTGGGCCCCACTCTAGTGAAACGTAATCTCCTTGTATTGGAGCCAAAAATAATATACGGGGGCTGTGTACGTGTTCTTTACAAACGTATTACAGGGGCAGAACTGGAAGGACCGATCACGGGCGGCACAAAGAAAGCAGTATCGAGGTACGGCTTTCGAGATTGCCGGAGCACGTTGGGGATATCAAAGGTCATGATCGTGGCATGCATCGTAAGATAAGCATATTTTGTCCACTCTTGCACACTTTACTCGAAAAAAGTAATCGATTACAATTACAGTTACTCTTGGCTATAAAGTATTGAATTAGATTACTTGATTGCTTGAAAAGAAAAGTAAGCGTTACTTGTTCGATAGCTTAAGATTTCCAAAAGGACAAAACATTTTGTCCAATTTGGAAACAATGGGGCTTTCGAACTGTTCATTATTGGATTAGAATTACCGAATTATAAGCTACTTATCTTCTTAGTCCACCAATTTTGGTAAAGCATATTCTCCTCTCGCGGAAACTTGGTTCCAAGATTCCTTCCTTGGAAAATTGTACAAAGGGCGCCATTAGAAAGGGGAGAAAGAATAATAACGGTTACAAATAGTTTTAGCAGTTCCAGGAGTAATCATATTACTTTCTAGATTACTTCATCATAAATGTAATCAAACAATTACAATATTTCTCTCAGTAGTAATAGATAACAAGTAATTTGATTACTTGCGATGAGTACAGTACAAGTCTGATTTTGTCTGGCGCCATATTCTCTATAGAGTGAAATCAGACAAAGGGCCACCGAGTATACTAATAAATAATGTGCAAACTACAACAAAAAGATCGTCTGGATTGGATCGCCATGACTGAATTTCCACTCAGTATGAGCAGAATACGTCTATAAAGAGAGAAAGAGAGAGAAAACAATATAGCTTATCTAGAGTCATCTTATCTTTCGGGGTTGGGAGATGAGAGTTCGGATGGGGTGGTGGGGTGACGTTATACAGTATGTGTCAGGTTCGCTGACCTGAGGTAGTAAAGGCACGAGTCCAGGATCAGCTTTCTCAGTTGTAGTTTTTGTCTGGGGGTCAACCAGTCGCGGAAAATCTTTTTTTCAAAAGTGCGTGCCCATCTAGGACAGGGGTCTCCAAACTTTCTGACTAAAAAACCGGATGAAGGTTTTCTTTTTTTTTTTTTTTTTTTTTTTTGCTGTGGCGAGGAACGGCAAATAAATAACTTAATGTAAATATAAAAAAACATCCTAGATACGCATTTAAATACAAAGTTGAAAGTGAGAGTAAAAATTAAGAAAGAACAGCATAAGATGGATAAATACATCTAAAATATATTGAAATACACTATTTAGCTAATTACGACATTACACAATATTGGAACCTAGAAAACATGCCTGGCATAGAGACGCTTTACTCAAGCGCCAGATTACAGCCGCCATTGCTGACCTTCTTCTCAAGTTGCGGGGTGCGTTTGGCGCGCGCCTATCTATCAATACGCGCGCGCCAAACGCACCCCGCAACTTGACTCGGTCGTCGGCGTCGCCGTCCGCCGTTGACCCAGGTAAGTTTTTTGGTCCTATGTCTTACAGAAAGGGAGCTTCGCTTTGTAATTTTGCAAGAAAAAACCGACCCGTGAAATACACCTTTGACGAAAAGTTTAGATTGCTACGTGGAGGCGTCGATTTTTACTGTCCAATTTATATCGAGCCTAGTGACTTGGGACACCCTATATATAAGACAGTCTGCACACATATTCAAACGCGATAGTCACCGCCAGATCCGTGTTTCGAATGCCGCATGGCAATGAGCTCAAGGAGAAAACTTGGCACGCGGCATTCGAACCACGGATATTGCGGTGACTCGTGTTTGCAGACTGTCGTTTGTATGATGTACGAACAGTGTGAACCCGGCCCTGTGGCTCATACATTGTACAAAGACACATAATGGCCGAATGATCTTCGGACAGGCCCCAAGCTTGTTCGAAGCATATTTGCTTCAAGGGGTCATGAAACGATTTTCCTACTTCTTCTTCCTTAGCTTTAATCCTTAACTCAAACGTGAATTGTGAAATCATGTATTCATGACATTCTTCGGCACCGGTGCGATGACTCTTAGCTTCCACCGTGGTTTTTATGCACACCATAGAACTTGTCATTCCCCAGTGATGATAAGTTCCGTCAGGGCAGTCATTGGCCACTAACGCGAATCCGAATATTCGTCGACGGATTTATTGTTGACGAGCGCATACGTCCGAGTGACGCAGTTGTCGTGTCCAATGCGTGAGCTGGGCTCGGTTGACGTCAGGTTAACACCGCTCACGCGCTTTGGGAACCGCGGATGTATCATAGTGAAAAGGCGGAGAGCTCTCGAAGGA